AAAATAAAACTAAACCAAAACCTCTGCCATCAAGTCGGATCCAACTCATAGAGACTCCTCCTTGGGTTTCGGAGGCGGTATCACTATGGAAGTAGATTGCCCAACCTTCCTTCCGAGGGGTGGCTGGTGGGTTTGAATCATCAGCCTTCTGGTTAGCAGTCAAGTGCCTTAGGCACTATGCCACCAGAGCTCCCCTCCCCTGCATAGACATACCTACTAGTTCAGCCTGTCCACCCATCTATCCACCCGTATACCCATGTTTGCCTTCACTGACAACACAGTACTGTCTGTGCAAAAAGGTTCATCTTTTGTTGTCTGCACCTCCCAGGTACCTCTCTATGTCTTCCTCTTCCTCAATGCCACCGTGTTGATTGCTCACATTTGGTACATTGCCTTTCTCTTTACCCAAATCAGTACTTGTCTCTACCTATCTAACAGTGTTTCCCCCTCCCCTCCCACCCCTGGTAACTAACAAAGAGAACATTTCCTTCCATATGTAAACCTTTCCTTGACTTTTTACAATAATGGACTTATATAATATTTGTCCTTCTCTGATTAACTTATTTCACTCAGCATAATATCCTTCAAGTTCATCCACGTTATGCGATGTTTTGCAGATTTTATGTTATTGTTTAGCGTTGCATAGTATTCCATTGTGTGTACGTACCATAGTTTGGTTATCCATGGCTCAGTTGATGGACACCTAGGTTGTTCCCATCTTTTGGCTTTTGTAAACAGTGCTGCTATGAACATGGGTGTGCGTATGTCTGTTCTTGTCCTGGCTCTCACTTCTTTAGGTTATATACCTAGTGATGGAGTTGCTGGGTCAAATGGTATTTCTAATGCCAACTTTTTAAGGACTAGCCATACTGCTTTCCACAGTGGCTGCATCATCTTACAGTCCTACCAACAGTGTGTGAGACTCCCCATCTCCCCACATCCTCGCCAGCATTTGTTATTTTGTGGCCCTCTTCCTTGCCTGCAGTAACCCCTGGCCCCTCCTTCTGCCCTGGCAGAGTCCAGTGGCCACTGGCCAGGAGGTGGGGCTGCTGGTCCTGCCCCTGGTGGTCAGCCTTGCCAACCTGCTGGTCCCCTACCTGTACCGCTTGCTGGCCACCCTGGAGCGGCACGAGTCTCCGGTGCTGGAGGTGTACGTGGCTGTCTGCAGGTGTGTGGGGGGCAGGGCTGTGGCCGGGGCTGGCTTCTGGGGGACTCTTCTGCCTCCCGTTCCCCTCCCTCAGCCTCCACATCCGGCCCTCGCAGGAACCTGCTCCTCAAGGCCATCCTCCTGGGCATCTTGTGCTACCACTGGCTGGGCCGCAGAGTGGGCGCCCTGAAGGGCCAGGTGAGGGGCTGTGGCCTGCGGAGGTGGGAGGTGCTGCCAGGCCCCCCAGTGGCCTCCACGGGCCTGGAGCTGGCAGGAGGAGGGACTCACCTGGCCATCTGACCTTTCGGTCTTGGTCCAGAAAAGATTGAGGCTCCAGTGGGTGCTGGCATCCGGGCAGCAGGGGGCAGCTGGGGGTGTGGGCGGTGCGGCCGCCTGGCTGAGACCATCCACTGTTGCAGTGCTGGGAGGATTTTGTAGGCCAGGAGCTGTACCGCTTCGTGGTGATGGATTTCATCTTCACGCTGCTGGACACGCTCTTCGGGGAGCTGGTGTGGAGGTGAGGGGCTGAGCGGCGGGGGGCCCGGCACCGAGCACAGCGCCCCGCAGGCTGTGTCTTCGTCCTCTGGGCATCCTGGGCTCCCCCAACACCCAGCAGGGCCGGTGGGGGCAGGTGACGGGCATCATCACCTGGGAGGGTCTCAGACCTGGGGAAAAACAGGACCCCAGGTTTCCACCCTTGACGAGGTTTAGCACAGGAAGCAGGACGCCCACGAGACAGGATGTGGGTCATTGGCAGGTTGGAAGGTTCCATAGCGATGTGTGTACTGTACTCTTCATTAAAACGTTTTTCTTAAATATGTATTTTTTGTTGTGGTAAAATATATAAAACAAAACCTTTTCCGTTCAGTCATTTTTGCGTGTGCAGTCATAATCTGTTTCATTCAGAGAAACAAGTGGGAGAGAAGGCGTAGGGGGCGCTTTCGGACGCTGCGGCTTGTCCGCCACAGTGCTGGTGTTTCTGGAAGTTTCTGTCCTGCTTTTTGTGTTTTCGTTGAGAGCATGTGAATTCAAGAATAATAAAGGAACGGATTTTTAGCATAGATTTTAAGAGCAGTTTTAGGCTTTTAGGATAATTGAGCAGAAGGTAGAGGCCCCCTCCCTGCCCGCAGCCCCCCATAATTGTCTGCATGCCCCTCCCTGCCTGAGCCCCCCATTATCGTCTGCGTGCCCCCCCCGCCTGAGCCCCCGTTATCGCCCACATTCCTCTGGCGTCTTTGGTGTCTTGGATGAAGACTGTGGATCCAGTGTGATTGAGCAGAGCACAAGGAACAGGACACGTTCTGTGTGTTTCAAACGTGGGCGTAAAGAGAGTACATGTGTTTCAGACACGGGTCTGTGCATGTTTCAGACGTGGGTGGGTCCGGGTGTGTCCACAACAAAGGCTGGATGGACGCAGCCTGATTGGTGCCCGGGGTGGGGTCTCCGCAGAGTTCCTGCCCCGTCTCTCCTTGACATCTGCTGCGGCCTCGGGGTTTCTGGGCGTCCGAGGTGGGGCGGGCAGGGTGCTGGGCCTGGCTTCTGGAGGCTGTGCTGGGGTGGGCCTCGGCCTGGCCGCCCGGCTGACTCTCTGTGGTGCCTCTGCCCAGGCTCGTGTCCGAGAAGAAGTCGAGGAGCCGCCGGAAGCCGGAATTTGACATCGCAGGGAACCTCCTGCAGCTGATTTACGGGCAGACGCTGACCTGGTGGGTGCGCCCCGCACTGCTGCCTGGCCCCGGGGAGGCGGAGCCCCGGGAGAGGGCAGACCTCGGGGGGAGAGGGGCGGGGCTTTGGGAGGACCTGGGGGACGGGGAGAGGGGAGGGGATCCCCCAGGGGACGGTGGGCTCCGGTGGTGCCAGTGTCCTTTCTGTCTGGGGCTGGGCAGAAGGAGCGAGGCGGGTCTCGGGGTTCTGGGCCCCCTAGCCCAGGGTCCAGGCCATGTGGTCCCAAGCCCAGCCTAGTCTGGGGTGGACGGGGAGGGAGGAGCACGGGGTGGCTGGCCGCTGACCTGCAGCCCCTCCCCAGGTTGGGGGTCCTCTTCTGCCCCCTCCTTCCGGCCGTGCAGGTCCTCAAACTGCTGCTCCTCTTCTACGTCAAGAAGGTGAGGCTGCCGCGGGGGCCCGTGGGCAGGCAGGCGCCCAGCACACGCCCCACTGGAGAGCCTGGTGCTGGCAGCCAGGGCCGCCCTGGGGTCGGTCCCACGGCCATGGGAGCCAGCTGACCCCCCACCGTGGATGACGGTCTTTGCCGGGCCAGGGAGCACCCCACTGGTGAAGGGCCCTCTGTCCTTGGGTGGAGGGTGCTCGAGAACCCAGGCTCCATCCCCCTCTGGCTTGGAAGCTGGTGTCCTCTCTGGCCTTGACTCCCCTGTCTGTACCATGGCCTGTGCAGGCTGGTCACACGGCGTCTCTGGACAGACTACCCCGCCCCGACCCCACCTTGTGTGCCTCGGTCTCCCCACCCCTGCTCCCAGGGCGCCTGCCTTTCCCTGTCCTCAGCTGAGCTGGGCCCTCTGGGTCTTGGCCTCTTGGCTGGAGGCTGGAAGGAGCCCCGTGCCCTGCTGTTCTCTCCTGGGATGTCCCCACTGGGCCAGGGACAGGGTGGGCAGTGGGCGGTGGTGGCAGTGTCCGGCTTTTGTCCGCAGACGAGCCTGATGGCCAACTGCCAGGCGCCACGCCGGCCCTGGCTGGCCTCCCACATGAGCACCGTCTTCCTCACACTCCTGTGCTTTCCCTCCTTCCTGGGCGCCGCTGTCTTCCTCTGCTCCGCCATCTGGCAGTGAGTGCGCTCAGCCCGGGCCTCTGTGGCCCAGACTTGGGTGTGGGTGCCTGGGGGCCTCCAGGGTGTGGCTGGTGGTGCATCGGGGGTGGAGGGGGGTGGTGTCCCGGGGCCGGAGGGTGGAGGGGAGGGGCCTTCACCAGCTGAGGGTCCTTGGGCCCAACCCCCCCCAGGGTGAAGCCGTCAAGCACGTGCGGCCCCTTCCAGACACTGGACACCATGTACGAGGCAGGCAAGGTGTGGGTGCGTCACCTGCAGCGGGCCGGGCCCAGGGTCTCCTGGCTGCCCTGGGTCTACCACTACCTGCTGGAGAACACCTTCCTCATCTTCCTGGTGTCGGCCCTGCTGCTGTGAGTTTGGGGAGGGGGCCGTGCCCGAGGGAAGGCCCTGTCCCCCGGTGCCTCCTGATGGCCGGCCTCCCACAGGGCTGTCATCTACCTCAACATCCAGGTGGTGAAGGGCCAGCGGAAAGTCATTTGTCTTCTCAAAGAGCAGATCAGCAACGTGAGTGCCCGCAGCCCTGATGCCCTGGGGTCATGTGAGGCCGCCCTGGCTCTGGAGCTTGGGTGTGAGGACCAGAGAGGAGTTCACATCACGTGGGGCTGGGGGCTGCTTTGGTCCTACCCCGAAACTCAGTGTTTCAGGGTCCGGGGTTGTGAGACACGAGCAAGGGCCCTGGGACGTCCTCGGTGGGACCTGTCTTAGAACAAGGACCCATTCAGTGCCCTGGTTTTACAAACAAGCCGAGTGCAGTTGCCAGAGGGTCAGGATGTTAACAGACTCTTAAGGAAACAAAATGCCTTTTAGACTTGGCTTGTTTCATTTTCTCATTCACACGTGAGAGGTGGACACGGGAGTAGAAGTCCCCCACCTTCGTCACTCGGCTGGGCAACCCTGGAGCTGCTCCCCTGGGAGGGAGGCCCGGTCCCTGCCCAGCAATGGCCGGGGGCTCCCCTGTTCTCTGCCTAGAGGGCCGCCAGTCTGCTTCTTGGCCACCCCTCCACACAGTCACAAGTTACTTTGCTGACCGTCTGGTCACTCAGGCTGGCGGGGGCTTTGCTGCCTCCCAGCATACTCCTGGCTTCTCATACCTCCCGGAGGGAGTGCTGGGTCCGGAGGGGCAGGCCGTTCACAGGAACCTGCCAGAACCTGCTGGGAGCAGCAGCGGGTGTGGGGAGAGTTCAGCGAACCCCTGAGCTGACACCACCCGCCCGCAGACATTTCTCCTCCCTCCTTTTTTCTGTGTACTTCATGCCCTGGCCCACACTGCTTGCGTCCCCAGGCCTGGGAGCGACGTCTCAGCCGTGCCTGATGCAGTAAAAGGCCTGGGGTCAGGGCCGGGCACCTGCCTGGCGAGGACACTGTGGGAGTGGCACACGTGGCCTCCCAGGCCCCTTGGCACGAGCTCGTCAGCAGTGCCCCGGGGGAGTTGCCGCTAGGGTTGGAAACCGCCACCCGACAGGCGCTATAGCTCGTTATCTCCACAGCAGTGATTCTCAGCAAGCACGGTGGAAGGGGTGCTCGGAGCCGGGCGTCCTGGGTGAGGGGGGCGCTGGCCCCGGGCTGCCAGAAGGGGTTCTCAGCCGAGCTGCGCTGCCCTGCTGTGGGGCACTGCAGGGCCGTCAGGGCAGGTGGGATGGGGTGTGCAAGGCAGTGTTGGAGCAGAGTCCAGGGGCACCCTCCATGCTTGGGGCCCTGCTGGGGACAGCGTGCAGTCAAGGCTGAGTGCCTCCTGCTGTGGCCAGCCCGCTTTGCTCGAGCACGCTGCCGTCTGAGTCTGTTCTGTGGGAAAGCACCTGGGGAGGGCTACTCCAGGGGCACCCGGGCCCTCCTCCTGGTGGTCCCAGGGGGTCTCCGGGGCCGAGCCTCGTAACTCCTGACATAGCTCTTTCCTCGGGAGTGGAGACTCCCCCTGAAGGTCCGGTCTGCCCAGGTCCTGAGTCGTGGGCGTTCGCTGGTGTCTGGCGCGTGCCAGGGCCTGTGCTCTGTGTGTACCTGCTCCCGTTCACTGCCTCAGAGCCCCACGACCCAGCTCTTCGTCTCCCTTTTATAGGCGCTGACACTGAGAGCAGAGAGGCGGCAACCTGGCTAGTGAGTGGCAGGGCCATTGCTAACTGCCTGCAGGCTGGCTCAGGCTCCGCCTCTTGTGCGGCTAATTATCTTTCCCTCTTCATCTGGGCCACTGGGCAGCTCAGAGCTCCAGAGTTGAATTTTTGTATATTACGCACCCACAGAAGTTAACGCACACACCATCTAATGCCACAGCTCTCCTGGGAACTAACTATGAGGGGGCTGCACGGTTTGGATAGAGAAACAAAGACCAAAAATGTATACCCTGTGTGTCATCACCATGAAGACACAGCCCCCGGCACCTTCCTGGCACTATGTTTTCTTCGCTCGAGTTTGGGTGCCTCTTTCATCTCTTCTTGAGTTTTGTGGCTTGTGATGTGACATGTACCTTGTACCCCAAACACCCCCTGGAACCGGGCGGTTCTGGACAGACAAGGGCCGTGCTCACCTTCCGTGTTCTGGTGCGTTCTAGGAGGGCGAAGACAAAATGTTCTTGATTAACAAGCTGCACTCTGTCTACGAGAAGAAGGAGAGGAGCAGGTGAGGGCCCTGGAGGGGCCGTGCGAGGGGGGGCGGGGCCGGTCAGGTGGCGGGCTGGGCGGGCGGCCGAGCTGGGTCCTCCGCCTGGAAACGTCTGAGGAGCCCAGAATAGCATGCTCCTTCTCTTAGTTGCTTCCTGAGCAATCCTGGGTGGTGGGGCCCTGAGCAGGGCCGGGGACAGAGGCCGGCTGCACGGCCAGCCTGTGGGCCCAGGCCTGGGGCGCAGAGGGTCCCGCAGGTCCAGGGCCTGCACCAGATGAGCCCACGCCGCGGTCTGCACCCCTAGTTGCTGGTATGTGACTGCTTCTGACACGCAGCTTCCTGTCGTTCCAGATGTCCCCCGGACCAAACACGTCAGAGGTGACACCCGGTGGCCTGTGCCTCTGGCGCCCAGTGTTTCTGCTCCCAGGAGGACTGTAGCCTCCCTGCCGGGGGCCCATCTCTCACTTCTGCCCCCTGGCGGCCCAGCAGTGGACTTAGTCTTTCCAAAGCCAGGCTGGGGTTGGGCCTGGACCTCTGGCCCAAGGGCTCTTTTGCAGCTAGCTGAAGGGGGGTGATACTTCCTGAACCACTCGGCCTCTTGCTGATGTCCCTTATGGCAGGGCCCCTGCTCTGCTCCCTGACGCACAGGAGACCCCGTGTCACCTTTTGTCCCTGTGGCGCTGCCAGAGGCAGATGCCATGTCGGGACCCCACTGGCCCGGTCACCGCAGTGCCGCAGCCTGGCTGTGGCTGGATGGGAGGGTCTGGGCTCCCAGGGGACCCTTGCCCTGCTCCAGCCCCATTTCTCCTGATCAATGTGTTTTGCAAACTGGGCCCTCTCCGGCGCGTGAATGCTCTGACCCAGGCCCGCTGCCCCTGTGCAGATATGGCGGCCCCACTTGTGCCCAGCCTCCTGGCATGCCAGACAGATGACCTGCAGGCTGAGGTCGAGTCCTGCACATGCTGCCCCTGGGTCCACCTCTCTGGCCCTTGAGGACACCACACTCCCTGCCAACCCTGTGGCCTCACCAGGACCCACTGGGAAGCCCCCAGCCACGCTGCTGCTGGCTGGACCCACTACTCCAGCTCCTGGGGTGGGGAGGCTTTTGCTTAGGGTGCTCCCTGCTGCCCAGGCCCCAGATGGCAGGGACTGGCCCCGGGCTGGGGACCTGATGCGAGGGGAGGGATGGTCAGAAATGCATGGCCCGGGAGTGGACCTGCATGTGGGTGAGCCAGCAGATGAGCGAGTGAGGAGTGGGTGGGTGCAGGAAGGCCACGGATGGGCCACGCCGTAGACATTGCGAGGGCTGCCACTCTAGGGAGGGGCTCTGGGGTGGGGTGTCTGGCAGGCGAGCCAGTTTGGGAGAGCCTTCTGGGCAGGAGTGGCGGCACCCTGGGAGGGGGTGGTTCTGGACAGCACAGGTGGTAGGGGGTCTGGCTGCCCGTGGCTGGGGACAATCCGACAGACCAGGTTGAATTTAGGAGCCCATGGGAGGCTGTGTGCCTAGCTTGTCTGGGGGTGGGGTGGGGGACTGGCAAAGCCAAAGGGCCAGCGTTCCTGGGCAGGCCAGCTCCCGAGTGGACATAGTATGTAGGCCTTTAGTGGGCCCCAGCGTTTGCCAGGGGACGGGGTCACATGCAGGCCACTGGCTGGTGTTACTGGCACTCACCTGGTGTAAGCCCCAGGCCTGACAGGCTGAACCTTCTGGGTCAGGCAGGCATGACCCGGCTGGCCAGGTGGCACCTGGGGACTCCGGGCAGTGTGTTGCTGACCTGGGCTGCAGCTTCTGGCCGTGTGTCTGGAGTCGGTGGAGGTGCGGGAGGCAGTGGGGCGGGCAGTCCAGGTGCATGACGGGGGGAGGATGTGGACCACTGTGCTTGGACACTACCTCTCAGAATGGCTGCCCCGTGGGCGGTGGACAACGGCACTGCCACCAGGGCTAGCAGCTGCGGACCACTCCCCCTGCCTCCTGTCCACTCTGAGGTTGGGACTGGAAGGGACTGGCTTGTGGGATTTCTGGCCTCAGCGAGGCCACCCCAGTGCGCTTGACGGGGCCAGTGGGGTGCTGAGCGCAGGCCTGGGGCCAGCTGAGCCCGAACCGTGGTCCCTAAGGCCTGTACAGCCCAGATCCTCCCGAGAGGGCTGTGGCAACGGTAGAACCCCTAGAGCGCTTGGCACCGTGCCGGGCACACAGGCGCATTTTGTTGGGGAAAGAAGAAGAAGGGAAAAAAAAAGGCCAGCTGGAGCCGCCAAAACAGACCACGCCGAAGCGCCGACCTGCAGCCTCCCGCTGCTGCTGTGGACCTGGGGCGGGTTTTGAGGACGGCCTTAGCTCTGCACAAGCTCCGCCCACCGCTGCTTTCCCACCTTGGCAGCAGGACGGAAGCCCCGGCGGAGCTGGAAGTGACAGCCAGCTGGGCCCAGCTCCGGGTTCAGTTGGTTGAGGGTGTCCCGTGGGCACTGGGCCTTTCTCGTTCCCCAGATAATTCTTATCCGCAGCCGAGACTGAGAGCAGCTGCCTGGACCCCGTCTAGCTTTGGTGTCTCAGATGCCACCGCAGAAGCCTGAGGCGATGCTGTCCCACGGGGCTGACGTGACACGTGCCCCGGTTCCGACAGGGCTGGGGGTGCGCGTCTCCCTCCATCTTCCCGAACTCGTTCCAGCAGACTCCTCTCGCCCCGCCCCGCCCCTGACTGGGCGGTGTGGCGTCCCTGCTCACCCGCCCCTCCCGTCTGACTGGCTGACGTCCCTGCTCGCCCCGCCCCTCCCTGTCTCTGACTGGCTGACGCCCCTGTTCGTCCGGGCACCTCTCCTGCCCCCGCCTCATCCAAACAGCCCTCCGCCCTGCACGTGGTGCCGCTGTCCGCTGAGCGACCGCTGCCTTTTCTGGCCCGGATAAAAATCGTGCAGTTCTGAACCTACGGCTTCTTTGATCCGAAACCTTCCGGTCCCATTGCTCCTTAAGCACATACTCAGCAGCCAGAGAGCACTGTGCGTTCCTCCTCTCCCCCGCTGCTGTCCGAGCCCAGGGCTGGAGGCCCGGGAAGCGCCCCTCGGACTTGGCCTTCCTGGGAGCAGGCGCCTGGTTCGCGGCTGTCGGTCTTGCGCGCGCCACCGGGGGGCTGACCGGAGCTCGGCGTTGCTGCTTCGGCGGATGTACTAGCTAGAGCGCCGCGTGCATTCGGCCGGCACAGGCCTGGGCCTGGCTCCTCCCGCTGGTCTCCAGCCCCTTCCCTCACGGGGCCCGGTCAGCGCCTCCCTTCTTCCAGGAGCCTCGGTGCAACGTGCAGTCGACCCAAAGAACACAGGTCCTTCTCGACTTGGACTCAGGGGTAGAGACAGCCCTCCGTCTGTCAGAGCCCAAGCAGTGGGGTGCGCAGGGCCGCCTGGCCCGTCCTCAGGCGACCACCACCTCCTCACAGCCCCACAGAGCGCTGCTGGCGTTCACCTCACAAGGCCGTGCAGGTGTTCTGGGGTGCACCTGAGGAACGTGGGGACCACCTCCGGGCCCCCTGTGCTGAGGCCACCGCTGCTCCGTCCAGCATTCAGTCCCGGGGTCGTGCACAAACGCTGTGTAACCTTGACCTCAGGACTCCAGGCCTAGGAAACACAGGCACTATGGTCACCCTTCTCCCTGAAGGTCTGAGCCCAATGCTGGGTCACGGTGACTGCTGGCGAGTGCCCGGCGGCCCTCGGCTGGGCCGCTGCCGAGGCACCAGGTGCAGCATGCATCCGCGAGGACAGGTGGTCAGGCTCCCCTGGTGCATTTTCAGGGGCTGTTAACAGACTTACATGTTAGCGGCAAAACCACAAAGTGTGGTAAAATCACGTCAAAGGGCCAAAATTCTGAGTTTAAAGACAATTACGTACACAAACTCCATGAAAATTGTAAAAAGAAAGAATGTGTTGGACAGGACAACTCTTTCTTCCAGTTTCAGCATACCAAGTGAAAACTGTTAACGGTCTTTGGAAAAAAAAGAAAAAAGAGAAACACATTTATTTGAACAGCCAAGAAAAAAACTGCCATTTATTAAGATCCCACAAAGCGTTGTACTTTTGAAAAGCAACGTTCGATGTGTTCAACAGTCACATTCTATGAGGAAAACATTAAAAGCCACAAACTTGTCTTTGTAATCTCAGGGTAACAGACACTGTCATTCAAAATAAAAGGCAAAAAAAACAAAAAAAAAAAAAAAAAGCCCAACAAAAAACAAAGACAGGGTCTGCATCTGCCCGTCTCCAAGTTTAAAACATGAGTTTTTCTACAACTCAGTGCTCTATGGCAGCCTGGGGAGCTGTATGTCTGGTGCACACACATGCCACGCACACGCACACACATATATTTGATGGACATGTGCAGGTACATACACATCAAATATAGAGGATGCACGTAATGGCGACGAGATGCAGTTACTCTGAGGAAGGCTTATCGAAGCTAAATACACTACGAAAACTTGAGGAAAAACGTCTCGAACCCAGTTTGTGCATAGTTCCTGATCCTCCATGAAACCAGCTTCTGGCGGTCTGCAGTCGTGCAGGACCCACTTTTTAATTTTTTGTTTTGATAAAACCATTAAAAAGCTAATAAAAAAAAAGTAATGCACGCGTGTCCTGCTCCTGCAGGAAGGGGCGCGACGTCGACTCTAAACCATACTGCAGGGTGCGCTGTTCCACTGTCCGCCTTCCAATCATGACGCTGATCATCTTCCAACATAAAGCGATTTTTATATATAAAGCACTCTTCAAACAGCTATTTCTTTTGAGTCCCTTATTTGGTAAATATGCGACTGCTACACATTAGAGATTAGGTATTTTTCTTTTTTTGTTTGTTTGCTTTTTTTTTAATAACATCTTCAGTGCTAGGAGTTGGGTTTAAAAATACATGAAATGTGTGGAGCTGCCCCTCGGGAACCCTGGCTTTCCTGAGAGCGCGTCCGGCGTGTGCAAGACAGTGACCACGAAGCCTCGTCCCCTGACGAGGGGACACGTGGGCGGAGTCCGCGGCAGCGGTGGTGAGGGCCCCAACAACACAGCCACCGAGCTCTGGAGGGGCCTCTCATTTGAAAATAGCTTGCTTCACGACGCGAGTCTTTTTTTTTTCTTTTTCTTTTTTTTTAAAATTCCTTTTTATTTATTTTTTTTATTTTAAAGTTTGAAGGAGAAAAAAAGGTCTGTAAACAGGTGGGAGCCCAAACCTCGGGCCCCTCCAAAAGCAGTGACAACCCACGTCCAAGTGCTTGTTTCTGTTCCTTCCGAGGCAACTGCCCACTCGACAAGTCTGTGTGGCCACAGCTCCACGACAGCTTGTTCTTCTCTTTAACGATATATTCCGAGTGGCAACGCGGCGCAGTATGCTGTGCTAGTTCGCGGGCGTCAGCCACGACACGCAGCTGCTCAAGGGAGGCCACCGTGTCATTTCTCCAGAGATACACACTGTAAGTTTTCGACGCAGTAACAGAGTCCTTGAGTAAACATTTACACGTGAATTGTCACCGGCCTGCCCTGGGACTTCTTCTGAATGTATAGGATTAGCGACAGGCAGGGCCGGGACACTCAGTGCAAAGTTAGACGCTAACAACAGCAACAATTAAACAAACGGTTGACCAATGAGCCAAAAAAAAAAAAGCATATACTGAGTAACAGGGAAAACCCACAGTTAAATCCCTCACGCGCGTTCACACACACACACACACAGAGCACACACACCCGCGCGCGCACACACACGCACACGCACGTAGGCTATGAACTCAGAAATGTTCCCTAGAGCCTGTTTTTGTACTGATGTCGACCTGGAGTGTAATTAGACTCAAAAGTGTTCACATTTCCTTAGCGGCCTGTGGATTCAAGTATTTGCATGTTTGATATGTCTTTTTTTTTTTTTTTTAAATTTTAAAAAATATTTTTTTTGGGATAAAAAAAATGACATGAAAAAGTAATGAAGGAAGGGAGATGTGCATAGGCGGACCCGCGCGGGTGGCGCGCAGATGGCGGGCTGCCCTGCCGGCCGGCCTTCTGTCCGCCCACCGCCCCGCCCCTGATTACCGGCCGCCTCTGGGAGTGTGCATAATCGTCACAGGGTCATAAATAGGCTTTCCCGCCCCCCCTCCCGCCCCCAGTCCGCAAAGTGCCCTTCATGGTACTAGTCTAAGCAGCTTTATACTGAAAACCAACACAACACACCCTAGGGACAAAGGACGACACAAAGTCAAAAGCTATGGAAGGGACCCTGTCGTAGCACGTGACACTGACCACGGCAGCCCGCACTGTCCCGGCAACAGTTCGCAGGGGCTGCGGCAAGGGTCCAGGCTGGGGACTGAGCGGAGGTACCGGAAGGGCGCCAGGCGGCAGGGGGAGGCGGGTCCTTGGCAACACTGGGACCGGAAGGGCCGTGCGCCCCTCCGAGTGTGCTGCTGAGCCCCGGCTCAGGCCTAGATGGACTCCCCGCTGAGGAGGTCACCAGGAAGCAGGGTGTTGAGTGGGGTGGGGCTGCCGATCACCCTGCCGTCATCGGTGCTGGGGGGGCCCCACAGGCTGCTCGAGTACTGGGGCACCCCGCCCCACAGCAGGTCACTGCTCCCCTTGCCGCCCAGGCAGGGGGCGCTCCAGTGGCCGGCATCGCCGCGCACCAGGCCGTGGGCACCGCCCGAAGCCCCCAGCCGTGTCTGGGTGGTCCCCGCGCTGGACTGCCAGCTGGAGGTGGGGGGCAGTGCCTGGCCCTGTGCTAAGAAGCGGTTCACTTCGTCCTCGCCTGCGAACTCGGCCAGGATGGTGGTGTTCCCCAGCACGCACCTAGAGCGGAGACAAAGGCACGTGAGCAGAGGGCCCGGGCCACGCAGGTGGCACCTGCCTGGTCCCCGGAGCCTGTGGCTTCCCTTCTGCCCGCTCCTCCTAAGCCCGGGCCACGAGTCTCCTCTGATGTCGGCTCCCTCGGTGGCGCCCCTGGGGACCGTCTAGGATCTGCCCAGGATCTACGTGCTGGGCTCCGGCCGACTCACAGCAGCCCCATGTGTGTCAGAGTTGAACTGTGCTCCACAGGGTTTCCTGCGGCTGGCTTCCTGATGGCAGATCACCAGGCCTGTCTTCTGAGGCACCTCTGCGTGGCCCTGAAAATACGCCTCCACTGGCCGAGCTAACTTCCGCATCCACAGTGACGTGGAGCTCGCAGGCTGCATCCAAGGCGTGCTTGGAGGAGGGGCGAGGAGCTGGCTGGGGACTGCCACTCTGCCCAGCAGCGGAGGCTACGTCTCCCTCCCTGGGGAACATTTCCCTCGCTGAGGGCAGGGGGCAGCACCCGGAGCCCCCAGCCCGTGCTGCAGCCCTGGGGGCCTGGGGGCAGGAGGGACGCACATGTGCAGGGACTTCTGGGCCTTGGCGGCCTCCTCCTTGGAGCTGTAGCGGACCACGGCGTTCCCTTGCGTCAGGTTCAGGTGGAATGTGATGAGAGGACCGTGCTGCAGGCACAGTGTCCGCAGTGTGGAGCCATCGATCTGACGGGTGACAGAGAAGGTGTCACTCGCTCCCCCAGCTCGGGCTCACCCCTGACCTCAAACACCGCCCGGCCACTGGACACACTAATTGCAGAGATGGCTTTTTCTAAGGGGCTTGCCTCCATGCCGGCCGCTTAGGATCTCTGGGACAGTTATCTAGAGGCAGAATCTGCCGTCTGTCCATCTGAGTGTACATTGGATGCAACACTATGGAACACAGTCATGAGTCGTGCAGCCTGCCCCCTGGTCTGCTCACAGAGAGCATGCCCCTCTCCGCGGCAGCTCTGCGCCACGCCTCCCCAGGCCCTGGTGACCTCCGACCTGCTCTGCCTCTGAATCTGCTGCCCTGGGATTTTTACATCTTGGCTCCATTGGTGTACGTGACGAGTTAACCACAGGTAGGAAAACCACCCAAGTGGGCTGTGATGTGCTCAATGGAGGATGTCACTTACGGCCTTTGGCTCAGGCACAGGGGATGAGCCGATGTGGGGGCTGGGACTGCGTGGTCCGAGTAACCAAGTCACTCTAGGGTGGCGCAGTCACGTGTTTCCCAAGAATGGGCCACAGCAGACCCCGGCTGCCTGGCTCGCCGCTGCCTCGGCGCCCGACTCCCAACGGTGCACGCTCCCACCCCTGCCTGGGAAGCTCTGGGGGCCGTGCTGGCACCACCTGGACAGACTGGTCGGCATCGAGGAGAGCTGTGCTTGGCGTGTGTGTGGGCTTCTTGTGGCAGCATTCTGGGTGTGCTCACCTGGGGCGTGAGGTTTCGAAGAACAAGCCAGCTGCTGGTCCTTCCTGAGGCGTCAGTACTCCACGTGGAACCTGCACGCAAGCCCAGGGAGGGAACTCAGCGCACAGGCCACAGGTCCATCCGCGCTCTCATCCAGGTTCCTAACCGCTACAGTGACAGGCGGGCTCCTCGCTGCTACGGGGATCCCTGCCTGTCCTCAGGCAGCACTCCTCAGCCTGTCAAAGGCCGTGTCCCTTCTGATGAACTCTGATCCCATGGTCCCTGCAGAGCTCTACAGCCTCAGCCCTGGAAACCTGATCTCCTGCTCACGCATACCTGCTTGGAGACAGGGACGGGACGCGCCAGGGAACCCTGGGCCCAGTGACAGTCAATGCTTGCAAGCTCTGTGTGTTACAAAATTCAAACACCACACGTGCTGCCACGAAAACCATTATTTTCAAACTATCTGCTGAGACATAAAGCTCCCCTTTGTGAAATTCTTAGGCATTTCCTTCACTCCGAGAGCCTGGGCAGGCACCTGACAGGGCCCCCAGAGGCACAGTATCCCGGTAAAGCCTCAGCTGTTCTCCTTCTGCAAAGGCCCAGGCTCTAAGGAAACCCTGCGGATAGATACATGAGGCAGAAGGAACATGCTTGGTGGGTCCACGGGGCTGAAGCCTGGTGGCTGACTGGAGGGGCTCCCCGAGGGTCCCAGGTGCCATCACACACCAGGGGATGAGGGGCAGCGTGGGTCTCCTGCTGGGGGCAAGGCCCTGACCATGTGGGTGCCTTCAGTGCCCTGCTGACCCCTCCCAGGGCGTCTCCCAGGAGGTAACAGGGCAGGCCCCGCCCCGCCCGGACCCAGAGCGGCACGCACCTGAGGAGTAGGAGCTGGCCCAGCCGAGGGGGCTGGCTCCCCAGGTGGAGGAAGGCTTGGGGTTGGTTAGCCCTGGGGGTGGCCGAGTGGGTGCAGTTGTGTTTCTGGGCACCTTCCACAGTTCATGGGACAGAGAGGCTTGGGTGTGGGAGGCTGGGCCCGAGGACCACGTGGACTTCATGTCGGACAGCTTACCTGGAAAGGCAGAGAAAGGGGCACCCACGACTTGAGACAAAGGAGAAAGGGCGTTGCTGAGCACAGGCCCTCGCCGGGTGGGGCGGTGCCCTGACGCCAGCGGGCTCACCCGGGACAGAGGTGAGGGCAGCATGCCGATGCTTGAGGCACGTCCGTGGGGTCTGGAGCAAACTCTGGCCCTGTTTTCAGTAGTTTCCTTGCTAAATGTCGTTGTTGGGAGCCACGGGGTCGATTCCACCTCAGAGCGACGCCACGTGACCGAGCAGAACTGCCTTCCCAGGCTGCGATCTTCACGGGAGCAGACAGCCAACTCTTTCTCCCATGGAACTGTTAGGGGGCTCCAACTGCCAACCTTTCAATGAGCAGCCGAGAGTTTAACTGCTGGGCCACTGGGGCTCCTTGCTACAAGTGCCAGACACCACTTTGCCACCAAGGATGGAATCTCACAATTCAGTATTAAAGCTAATTCCCTCTCATGTCTTACAGTTAACATAACAACCCAAGGTGAAAGTGTAATACGCCACTGCCTTCCCCTGCGACTTCTCTAGGTCTCGCCCCTCTGCAAAGTGATAGCCCTGCTGGGTCACCTGCCCCACCTCACCACTGCACTCTCCCAGAGCTGCGGGCGCTGTGCCACGTGTCTGAACACTGGCTGCTGGGGAGAATGCATGTGTGGTCAGCAGCAGCAGCCAGGGCTCTGGCAGAGGTGTTGGTCACAGATGGTCCCTGTGCCTCACGCAGCGACCAGGTCGATGCAGATGGGTCTCTGCACACCCCGCTGGGTGGCCTCCAGCCCTGGTCCAGTGAAGGAGCGGCTACTGGAATGGACGTGATTCTAAACAGACAAGTACTGACCAGAGAACAGAACACGCCCTAGAAGGCCGTCTTAGGTAGCAGGAAGGGATCTTACTGCCCCCTCTCTCTCCAGCGGAGTGACAATGGCACTAGATACATCCCCTTCCAAACGTCAGGAGGAGTAAATGGGGAGTAGAGAGGACCTCTGAGGGACTTGTGTTGCATTTTAGTAAGATGCTAAGTGACACCAACTCTCTCCCCTGGACACTGGTCTCCAAAGATGCCCTTCCTTCTCACTCCAGAGTCAATGAGGTCTGCAAGAAACATCCCACCATTCACACACGACCAGCACCAGTCAAGCCCTGAATCTCGACAAACCTGCGACCGTCTTGTGTGTGTACGTGTGTCTATATCCTGGCTTAAATGTTCAGCTTCAAACTCTCTAAGCTTTCAGGACTGTTCTTATCCTCCTCTGAGCCCAAGAGAGGCTGCTCAGCATGTCTCGCATGGCGCAATGCGCGGGGACAGTTCAGGTGACGCAAGTCTGGGCAGGGCGGCAGTCACACTCTGGTGACTGCACGCTGCTCTAGAACATGGCCCCGGGCTGAAGAAACGAACGTGTACTCGCCCCTGACAGGCCTTCCTCGCTCTAAAAGGAGAACCATGTCGGCCTGCTGGCAGCCACGCTCACCTCCCCAGCCTCGTGCTCTGAGCATGGTCAGTCCAAGGCCCTGAGACTGCACGCCATTCATGCCACATGGCCACTTATCATTAACAAGGCACTGAGATGTTGATAGTGCTCTGCAATGTGTAGCTTTAATAGCGGAATTTATTCTATGTAATCAGTTAATTTCCTTGGTACATGAAGCATTACTGTAAATAATTCTAAACAAGAGTTCTGGCTGCTTCAGGAGGGTTAAAGCTGTGAATAACATCCAAACGTAAACTTTAACATTGAGTCAGAACACAATGCCAATGACAGTCAGAAACAAAAATGCAAACAGGTAAAAACCTACATCCAATATTCACAAGGAGATAAAACTGAATTTTCACCATGAAGATATGTGAAATGACTGAGCCAACATCAAGAGAGCTGCGGCCGCCTCTCACTGTCCCCTCCAGGGGCGTTTCTCACGCCTCTGCACGCTGGGGTCTGCCTGCTCAGGACCGCGACAGCAGGGCAAGTCGGCGGCGGGCCCGCACCGGTCAGTGGGGCGGGGCCCTGCCGAGTTCTCTGTGGCAGTGGTAGGTTGCTAACTACTTCCAGGGAGAGATGCCCACTGCCTGTCTGTCAGGCCATGTCCTGTGGTGGCTTGTGTGTTGCTGTGAGGCTGGAGGCTATGCCACTGGTATTTCAAATACCAGAAGGGTCACCCATAGTGTACAGGTCTCAGCATTTTCCAGACTGAGACAGACTGGGAAGAAGGAAGGGGCCATTCCTTCTCAAAGGAACGGCTGGTGCAAATCTTATGAATAGCAGTGAAACATTGCCTGATATATTACTGGAACACTTAATGAATAGCCCTGAAACACTGTCCAATACAGTGCAGGAAGACCAACTCCTTAGGTCAGAAGGCACTCAAAATATGACCGGGGAAGAGCTGCCTCCTCACAATAGAGTCAACTTTAATGACATGGATGGAGGAAAGCTTTTGGGACCTTCATTTGCTGATAAGGCATGACTCAAAATGGGAAGAAACAGCTAGAAACATCCATAATAATTGGAATGCATAAAGATCAATATCCTAGGCATCAGTGAGCCAAAATGGACTGGTATTGGACATTCTGAATAAGATAATCATATGGTCTACTATGCCATTGGCGGTTCAAACCCACTAGCCACTCCTCGGAAGGAAGGTTTGGCAATCTACTTCCGTAGTGATACTGCCTTGGAAACCCAAGGAGGGGTTGGTGTGAGTCGAGTCCGACTCGACGGCACATAAAAACAACACATGCCGGGAATGACAAATTGAAGAGGAATGGCGTGGCATTCATCGTCACAAAGAAAGTTTCAAGATCTATCCTGACATAAAATGCTGTCAGTGATAGGGTAATTTCCATACACCTACAAGGAAGACCAATTAATAGTACTATAATTCAAATTTACACACCAACCACCAAAGCCAAAGATGAGGAAGTTGAAAATTTTTAATAACTTCTGCAGTATGAAATTGATCAAATATGCAATCAAGATGTATTTATCATTACTGGTGATGGGAATGTGAAAGTTGGAAACAAAGAAGAATCACTGGTAGTTGGAAAATATGGCCTTTGTGATAGAAATGACACCAGAGATCACACGATAGAATTTTCCAAAACTAACAACTTACTCGCTGCAAATACCTTTTTTCAACAACATAAATGGCAGCTATACACATGGACCTCGCCAGATGAAATATATGGAATCAGATCGACTACATCTGTGAGAAGAGGCAATGGAAAAGCTCAGTATCTTCAGCCAAAACAAAGCCAGGAACTGACTGTGGAAGAGACCATCAACTGCTCATATGCAAGTTGAAGGTGACGCTAAAGAAAATTAAAACAAGTCCATGAGAGCCAAAATATGATTTTGATTATATTCTACTTTAGAGACCATCTGAAGAAAAGGTTTGATGCATTGCACACCAATGACCAAAAACCAGACGAGTTGCGTGATGACATCAAGAACATCATCCATGAAGGAAACAAAAGGTCATTAAAAAGACAGGAAAGGAAGAAAAGACCAAAACAGATGTCAGAAGAGACTCTGAAGCTTGCTCTTGAATGGAGAGTAGCTAAAGCAAATGGAAGAATCGACAAATTAAAACAGCCAAACAGAAGATTTCAAAGAGCACCTCAAGAGAACAAAGTCAATTATTATAATGAAATGTGCAAAGACCTGGAGTTAGAATACCAAAAGGGAAGAACACATTCAGCATTTCTCAAGCTGAAAGAACTGAAGAAAAAATTCAAGCCTTGAGTTGTAATATTGAAAGATTCTATGGGCAAGATACTGAATGATGCAGGAAACATCAAAAGAAGACGGAAGGAATACAGAGTCACTGGTTTGGTACCAAAAAGAATTGGTCATACTCATCTATTTCAGGAGCTGGCACAGGATAACGAATCAATGTTACTGAAGGAAGAAGTCGAAGAGGCACTGAAGGAACTGGAGAAAAATAAGACTCCAGGAATTGATGGGATGCCCAATGAGATGTTTCAACAAACAGGTGCCAAGCTGGAGGCACTCACTGGGCTATGCCAAGAAATTTGGAAGACAACTAATCAACTGACTGGAAGAGATCCACATTTGTATCCATTTCAAAGAAAGGTGATCTCATAGAATGTGGAAATTATGGAATGGTATCGTTAATATCACACACAAGTAAACTTTTGCGGAAGATAATTCAAAAGTGGTTGCAGCAGTATACTGACAGGGAACTTGGAGAAATGCTAGCTGGATTCAGAAGAGGATGTGGAATGAGGGATGTCACTGCTGATGTCAGATGGATTCTGGGTGAAAGCAAGAAATCCCAGAAGGATGTTTATTTGTGTTTTATTGGCTATGCAAAAGCTTTCGACTGTGTGGATCATAACATATTATGGATAACGTTACGAAGAATAGGAATTCCAGAATACTTAATTGTGCTCACGAAGAACCTGTATGCAGACCAGGAAGCTGCTGTTTAAACAGAACAAGGGAACACTGCATGGTTTAAAATCAGAAGGGTGTGCGTCCAGGTTGTATCCTTTCACCACACTTATTCAGTTTGTATGCTGAGCAAATAATCCGAGAAGCTGGACTGTATTAAGAATGCAGCATCAGGACCGGAGGAAGACTCATTAACAACCTGCAATATGCAGATGATACAACCTTGCTTGCTCAAAGGGAAGATGACTTCAAGCACTTACTGCTGAAGATTAAAGACTAAAGACTACTGCCAGCAGTATGGATTATACCTCAATATAAAGAAAACAAAAGTCCTCACAATTGGACCAATGAGCAGCATCACAATAAATGGAGAAAAGACTGAGGTTGTCAAAGATTTCATTTTACTTGGATCTACAACCATCATCCATGGAAGTAGCAGTCAAGACATCACATGCCATATTGCACTGGGCAAGTATGTGGCAAGCAAAGGTGTCACTCTGAAGGCAAAGGTGCAGCTGAGGCAGGCCACAGTGCTCTCAGTCACCTCATGTGCATGTGAGAGCTGGGCAATCAATAAGGAAGACTGAAGAAGAGGTGAGGTGTTGGGGAAGAATACTGAAAATACCATGGACCACCAGAAGAATGAACAAATCTGTCCTAGAAGAAGTGCAGCCAGAATGCTCCTTGGAAGTATGAATGGCCAGACTTCGTCTCACCGACTTTGGTCGTGTTGTCAGAGGGGACCACTCCCTGGAGAAGGATGTCATGCTTGGTAAGGTGGAGGGTCGGAGAAAAAAGGGAAGACTTTCAACAAGATGGACTGGCACAGTGACTGCAATGATGGATTCAGTTATAGCAAGGATTCTGAGGACGGCACACGACCAGGCAGTGTTTCTGTTGTACGTGGGGCTGCTGTGAGTCACAGCCAACTCGACGGTACCTAACAACATGCAGAGATGCATTCATCACGCTCACCTTGCTCTCAAACACACTCTAAGACATACGCTAAATACAGCAGGGGTGCCTGGGCTGGACCCGGGAGAAGGCAGGGCTTGGGCTTACCATCTATCCTGACCAACGATTGGGCATATGTGTCCAGGCCAGGCTGGGGACCTGACCAAGACCCGTAATGATCATATATATAACCCTAAATGTGAGGTGCCCTGAGAAATCTTACGACACGTGCGTGGAGCTTGAGTCACTAGGGAGAGTGTTGTCTCCCTTCTTAAATCCCAGAGGTGGACACAGCATTTTCCTGTGTTATCTGAGAGGCATTTCTTATGCTGACAGTCCCTTCTGCTTGTTAAGTCCACCCCCTTTATCGGGCAATTTATGGCACGGGACCACCTGTTAGCTCGGCCTCCACCCCACACGTACTTCACTAGACCACCTCTGCCATGGTAGGGCACATGAAGACAGTGGCAGAAGCTGCCACCGTGCCCTGGGTGCCGCCAAGCGGTCAGAGAATCCCTGGGGTACTGGTTGAGAAACTGATCCACGCCACTCGATCCTTCCGTTGGGATCAGCACCATCCACACACTACTCCGCCGTCCTCACAACACACGCCTCCTGTCCCCACTCTGCTCAGCACGTGGACTCTACCTGCGGCCACCTCAACAGGCTCTTCTCTGCCTGGGCTTGCCTCAATCCTGTGCTGCACACGGGTGGGCGTTTCCCACATGTCTGCACTGTCGTGCACTGACTTGACCCTGGCTGTGGGGAGGTGACCTGCCCTGCACAGGACTGAGAACGGTGGCCTAGATAATGCTGGCCTCTTAGCCTCATCTGGGTCCCCTCAGACACCTCAGAATGCCACTGCTGTAAAGGGCCACGGAGACAAGCTCATGTCTCCCAGGGCCTCATTTTCAACAGGAAACCTGGGACTGTCCTCTGGGCCCTACTGTCATGGGCATTTTGGGTTCCAGGTGGGCCTTCCACACTTAGAGTATCGACAAGGCGCCAGCTGAGCACCACTTCTTTAGATACGTGCTTGCGAGGGGGGCAGAGGTCACCCTTCTCACGGCCGGACCTGAGAGCTGTGTTCTGGCTCTGTGACCTCACAGCTGCCTCCCCTGGGAAGTGCAGTCCAATCCCAGGCTGACAGCATGTGCCCAGATCAGGAGGTAGGATCCAGCTCATTCTGAGGTCAGAGGAAATCAAAGTCAAAGTGGAAACTTTTTTCCACCAAAAGGTCCGTTAATATCGTGACTTTGGAAGATAAGGCTTAAAAATGATGAAAATACTACCCTGTCCCCTTCCACGTTCCCCTAGGCTCTTCTCCCTCTACTGTTCAAGGGGTCCAGGGCAGGAGCCCCACCAACTAACTATACCCACACCACACCTCCCTCAGGGCCAAGCCTGGCCGAGACGGCACGCCTGAGCGAGCCAGGGTGCCCCCCATGCCTGCAGACGAGCACTCGCCCCTCACCTCCACTTTTGAGGAGGTAGCGGTTAACGTCCTGTATGGTGGTGTTAATCGTGGGCCCTGTGGGGACGCTGCCGGGAGTGACGTCAGGATCGTTCTCAGGGTCGATGTTCTGAAGTCCCTTCCATGGTACTCCAGGGTGGAACTCTGTCACAAGAGCCAAAATGAGGCCATGTGTTAGACCACTGCCACTTTTTCCCAGTCTGTGGGAATGTTAATGGTTTGCTAATCAAACCAAGAGGCCATTGCGCTCTCTTCCATGAGCCCGTGAACCCTCTGGAACAAATGGGAACCGGGCACTGCAGCTGCCACATGAAGGCGGCCGGCCTCCACAGCGGGCGGAGGAAGTCCAGAAGCCAGCCCGCTGCACAGCCACCTCCTGGGCCTCCTGCTCACCGGCCCGGTATAAACGAAGGGGCTACAGCAGTCTGCAGCCAACCTCTACACGGCTGCAGTGAAGAAGCCAGCCCCCAGAGGGCCGCTCTGGAGGGCCTGCCCTCCCCGGCTCCTCGGCACTGCCAGCCCTCAGCCTGAGAGTACCTGGAGGCTGGGGCCAGCGGTTTGCGCGGTCTCACCTGGCGGCCAGTTAATGCTGGAGCCGTTGGAGACTTTCTCGCCGTCGGATTTGGCACGTGACCAGCTGTGGGGGACAGCTACAGGAGGACTGGCCGGTGACTCGTTGTTCTGGATTAACTCATACCGGCTGTAGGAGTCGTCAATGGAGGACTTCGAGGGAGGCCCGATGCTCAGGCCTCCAGGGATAGCACCTATGGGAACAGGAGGAAGCACGGGCCTGAGTGAACACTCCCTCCTGACCCCAGAGGACACCTTGGGACCTCGCACCACCCAGGTCAGGTACGAGTCACCTACTGCCGATCTGGGCAACGTCCGACCACATACATGCCATGGTCCCAAAAAAGAAAGCAGCTCTTCTTTTGTTTATTATTTCCTCTGAAAGTCTGAGCCACCATTCGTCCAACATTTGGTCGTACTGTGGTGGCTTCTGTGACTATGCCACTAGTATTTCTGATATTCACAGGGTCACCCATGGTGGATAGGTTTCAGCAGAACTGCCAGGCTGAGAGAGGCTAGGACGACCTGGTGATCTGCTGCTCCTTAAAAACCAGTCCATGACGACCGTGTGAGTTGGAGTTGACGCTGTCTGATGCAGAGCCAGAAGAGGAGCCCTCAGGCAGCAGGCACTCAAGGTACGACCAGGAAAGAGCTACTACCTCAGAGTAGTCAACCTTAATGACACAGACAGATTAAAACTTTCGGGACCTTCATATGCTGATGGGACACAACCCCATCAAATGAGAAGAAACAGCTGCAAACATCCATTAACAACTGGAATGTGGAATGTTTGAAATATGAATCTATGAAAATTGGAAGTTGCCAAAAAGGAAATGGAACATGTAAAGACTAACGTTTTAGGCATGAGTAGTGAGCTGAAATGGACTGATATGGGCCATTGTCAGCTGAACAATCACATGGTGTAGTATGCCAGGACTGATAAATTGAAGAGGAACAGCACCTCATTCATTATCACAAAGATTCAAAGACCTACCATGAAATACAACGTTGTCAGTAGTAGGATGATATCCATATGCCTACAAGGAAAACCAGTTAATACAACTATTCAATTTTACACATGGACCTTACCATGGCCCTCACCAGACAGAACACACAGGAATCAAATCAGCTACATCTGTGGATAGAGCCAGTGGAGAAGATCAGTATCATCAGTCAGAACAAGGCCAGGGCTGACTGTGGAACAGACCATCAATTGCTCATATGCAAGTTCAGGTTCAAGATGAAGAAAATTAAAACCAGCTCATGAGACTCAGAGTACAAGCTTGAGCATATTTCACCTAAGGACTGGCCCCACTGAACACGAATGAACAGAGATCCGGTGAGTTGTAGGAAGACATCAAGGACATCGTGTATGAAGAAAGCAAAAGGTCATTAAAAAGACAGGGAGAAAAGACCAAAATGGATGTCAGAAAAGACTCTGAAAGTTTCTCTCAAATGGAGAGTAGCCTAAGTGAAGGGAAGAAATGATGAAATAAAAAGCTGAACAGAAGATTTCAAAGGAAACCTTGAGAAGACAAAATAAAGTATTACAATGAAAAGTGCAAAGACCTGGCATTAAAAACCAAAAGGGCAGACACATGCTTGGCATCTCTCAAGTTGAAAGAACTGAAGACAAAATTCAAGCCTTGAGTTGCAGTACTGAAGGAGTCTGTGGGCAAAATGGTGAACAATACAGGAAGGATCCAGAGTCACCGTACCAAAAAGAACCGGTTGATATTCAACCACTTCAGGAGGCAGCAAGTGATCAACAACCAACGGCACCGAAGGAAGATGTTTAAAGTGCCCTAAAGGCACTGGTAAAAATCAAGATTCCAGGAGATGATGGAATGTCAACTGAGACCTTTCAAGAGATGCAACGTGAAAGTGCTCACTCTTTCACTAATTTAATGCAAGAAATTAGGCAGAGAGCTAGCTACCAGGCTGACTGCAAGAGATCCATATTTGTACCCACTCCAAAGATCAAATGTTGTTGCTATTGTGTTGTTAGGTGCCGTCGAGTCATTTCCGACTCATAGTGACCCCATGCACAGCAGAATGAAACACTGCCCAATCCCGCGCCAGCTCCATGATCC